CCGTAGGTCAATTTACACAATTTTTTCGCCAATATTTGTAGCTTAACGCAGACAAGGTTTGTAAACAATAAAAATCTGAGTTTGTCTAAAAGATATTAAAAATAACCAAAAACTAAATTGTCTATGGGAAAATACATGTAAAGCAAAAGCGCGCGCTTTTGTAATAATTATTGAGAAAAGAAATAATTTAAAACAATTGTGATGTTTGAATCTTTTGTTGAAATAAAGACGGACTTTTACTCCGCTCCGTTTATGATGCTAGCAAAAGGTTTTACCTTTGCATCTGCATCGGCACTAGTTTCAAATAATTTTAAGATTAATATATTACATCAGAATTGGGATAAAAAACGCAATGTTTACACGATGTGCCAAAATAATTTAACTTTAACGTGCTATGAATTGAAAGAAAATAACTATTCGTTTGTATTTTAAAATATTGATGAGTGTAACAGTTTACCTCAAGTAGTCTAAGGCTGATTGGACAAGGGCGGGTGAGGCCGAGCCCTGGTAAGATTGATACTACTTGTGCTGTTGCTTCATGGCAGACTTTACATCGGGACGGCTCGGGCGGCTGCCAAACACATGGTTCTGTGGCGGGTAGAAAGTACGCCGGATACGAGTGCAGCGTTCCTTAAGAGTGCTAACTTGTTTTAAATAGTCACGTGCGCATGAATCATGGCAGCTACCTATGGCGTGTGTTGTGTCACGTGGCGCTTGGCGTTCTACGTGTGACAGCGCGGGTGCGTCGGCGTCTGTTACTGGCGCACAGTCTGCCCTACACCTCTGCATGCAGCTTCTTTATTACAATGTGTGCAGTAGTTTGTTAGTACCATGCAACACATTGGCAAGGAATATCGTGTTGCTGAGAGAGCTGGTCTGTGTTACATTAGTAGCGTTGCTGTTGGCTTGCATTCTTTGGTGTTATCATGTAATAATGTCCTTCACGTCACACCAGTGAGTGATTGTGGCGGGGACATATTACGTTTGGTCTAATTGTATTTGCTCTATACTGAATGTGTAGTGCAGTACGCTCCTTTATTTCTAATAATGATTAACGTAAGCAAGAGATCAAATTGAACATCAGCTCTCATACATATATTATTTTTAACAATTAACTTTCAGAATGGTTTATAATAGTAAAGAAAGTTTGTTACCAAGTAATATTCATTTATTTTAAATTAACCTGAGATTAATTTATTACAATGTAATATAGTTGCAGCATGGATCTACCACGTAAGTAAAATTGACTAAAATTGAAAACTACGACATTATTTATTTTCCAATCTACCCGTTTTAAGATAAAAGTAATAATGACTAGTTTTCTAAATTCACAATGGTTATTTTACTCATGAAATTCGTTTTTAAATGTTAATATTTCACGGAATTTTATTCTAACTCACAAGCATTTTGTTGAGGTTTCATCGATTGAACCCATATAAAGCTAAATTGTTATAGTTCATTGAAAATTTGATCTTCTCGATATTTGTTTGTTTTCCATCAACCTAATGAATTCTTGAATATTTTATATCTACCTTAAGAAAGTTAGCACGCCAGGATTTTCTTTTGTATATAGCATGGAGTCGATTAACATACATATTCTTTTTATGGGACTCTCATATGGGACTCACATTTTTTTTTAATTTATTCTTATAAATTCTAATGTTTCTGATATTATATAAATAATCATGAAATAAATGCATCTTAAAGACCTTCTATATTATTGCATTTGTATCATAGACCTTACTATCGCAAGTCTTAATATGGGACTACACATTGTGCAACAGTATTTTGGTAGTCAACCACACCCATACATATGTATAACTGCAGGTATGATGTGTATCTGGGTACTCCCTTATAAAAACTGCTGCTCACAATCACGCGCCAGCATTACATGAACACGCTCCATAACTTATACTTTTTTACCGATTAATACACTTCCCAAACCAAAACTTAAAATTAACTTAAAATAAATATAAAACAATATAAAACTTATAAATGTTATTTATTTTTATTCATCATCATCATAATCACAGCCCTTCATAAGTCCACTGCTGAACATAGGCCTCCCCCAAGTAATGCCACAAAGCACGGTCCTGAGCCACCTGCATCCATCGACTTCCTACATATCTTATCAGGTCGTCACTCCATCTAGTGGCGGGTCGCCCCACACTACGCCTACCGGTACGAGGCTGCCACTCGAGGACCTTTCTTCCCCATCGGTTATCGGTTCTTCGAACTATATGGCCGGCCATTTGCCACTTCAGCTTACTAATCCGTTGGGCTATGTCGGTCACTCTGGTTTTACTGCGGATATCCTCATTTCTGAGTTTATCAGGCAGAGAAACTCCGAGCACAGCCCTCTCCATAGCTCGCTGAGCGACTTTGAGCATCCTCATACGGCCAGCAGTGAAGGACCAGGCGTCTCAGATCCGTAAGTTATCACTGGCAACACGCACTGGTTGTACAATCTAGTTTTCAGAGATTGAGGTATACCTGACGAGAAGATGTTTCGTAATTTCCCGAGCGCTGCCCAGCCGAGTTGAATCCGTCGATTGACCTCTCGGTCGAAGTTGGACTTACCTAGTCGGACTATTTGTCCCAGGTAAACGTACTCGTCAACAACTTCGAGCATAGTGCTCCCAACAACTACCAGCATAGCTGTGACATGGACATTAAACATGATCTTTGTTTTGTCCATGTTAATCTTAAGACCTATCCGTTGGGAGACACCATTGAGGTCATTGAGCATAGTGCTTAGGTCCTCCAGCGATTTTGCCATAAGGACTATATCGTCGGCAAATCGAAGGTGAGTGATGTACTCGTCATTGATGTTAATACCGAGTCATTTCCAGTCCATTATTATTTATTATTATTTAGTTTTATTATTGTACTATAATCGACTTGTATTTTATTATTTAATACTTTTTGAGTATTTTATCAGTTTTATATAAATTTAATAAATTTTTAAAGTCAATATTAAGCTTTACTATAACGCTTAATATTCGAAATGAATGTATTTTTTGCTTTACGCTTATTAATGCATTTTAATTGTTTAAAATATCATATCTTTTATATTTATAAATGCCTTTATATAGAAATTAATTATTATTAGCTGTTAATAACAATACGCTGTTACAATATGTTAAGAATAGCTTTACTCCTCTTCAAAACGTGCCATAAAATCAATGAGAGAAGTCGGAAACATCATACGCAATATCTAAACGGGTAGTTTACAGCGTAGTAAGATAACAGCCTCAGACAACGGGGACAATTTGCATTTACTTAGCAGTTCCATGTTAGTGCGCCATGTCTTTAGGCATTTGTGTAAGCTATGTAATTTGTTTCACATTTTACATTCATTATTCCACGATTACAGTAAGCCACTCTTATTGAAACAATTTATAGTTAAAATTCAATATATATTTTAATAATTTTTCAAGTGAAATTTTTTTATATTTATTTATATTTTATGTAGTGGAGAAATTTTTTACAGTATTAAAAACAATAGAAGTCACAATTGCTTTTAACTGGTCGGAACTGCATGAGTATACTTTATTTAATCTAAAATATAAAATATAAAAAATAATATGTCGTAAAGAAATTTCACTTAGATCTAATTACACGCACAATTTTTATTTGAATAATATCTTTATGTACACTTTTTAAAATATCCTTTATTTTCTCTATATACACTAGAAAAAGTTTTCATTATCTTGTTATGTTAATCTATTAGTGAAGATATATTTTAAGCCGAATTTACATTATGAAACAAGTGTCATGCATGATAAAACTAGTTTCGTGAAACTAATTTTAGCACATGTGAAACTTCTTTCGTTTAAATTATAGTGTCGTGAAATTATCAGTATCGCGGAGAAAATGTCAAAATCGAAGCTGCATTTTATGATGCAAAACGTCGTTGTAGAAATGATAAAATATAAAATAAAAAAGGTTATCTCGAAAGAAACGACGTTGGTGGATTCGAGGATGGGTTGAAAAAAAGCATCTGGGTGCATTACAAGTCTCTGAATTGGCAGATGAAGATCCTGAAAGCTATGCAAACTACTTTCGAGTGCAACTCATTTTAATTTATTATTAACTAAAGTGTCCAACAAAATCTCTAAACAGAATACAACATGTCGAGAAGCACTGACAGCAAAATTGAAACTTCAAATAACTTTACGGTTTCTTGCAACGGGAAATATTTTAAGGTCATTATCGTATGAATTTAGGGTACCATCTTGCACTATATCGAATTTTTTTCCGGATGTGCTGGACAAAATATTCGAAGAACTGAAACATTACATTGAGGTAAGAAAAACAATTTTTTTATTTGGTTAATCAACAACAGTTGCTTTGATATACTATTTAATCAGTACCCGGATGACCGAGCTTTGCTCGGTTTTTTTTAAATTACAGACAAATACTTTTATCTTTTGACAAAAAACTGAACTGCTTATTTGAATAAAAAATCATGAGTGCAATTAGTTTATTTAAAATTTTCGTATTTTTTAAAAATACTAAAAAAAGGGCTCGAAATAATAGCTTTTCTCACAAAAGAAGGGAACTTGAAAAAGAAAGGGAAAAAAAGTCGGACCAAAGCCATATATATATATATATATATATATATATATATACAAGAATTGCTCGTTTAAAGGTATAGGATTATTATATTTCAATGCTCTCCCCCGTTATGCTTGAAATTGCTTGTGAAAGAATGTTGTCACTGTATATGTAATACTCGTCTGTATCATTAGTGACATAGGTGCCGCTAGCTGAAGCAATTTACTCTGTCATCTCGGAGAATTGGGAAACTTGCTGATCCTCCGGTATAGTGATGGTTTCAATTCTGGTAGACTCCGTACTTACCGACGCAGATAATGATGGACCGCTTTGTGATGACGAGTGCTTTGATAATTTAATACGTTGTCTTCTTATTGTTGACAAAATCAACTCCTCAGTTTCGAGGGCGATTTCTAAAAGAAGCTGACTTAGCTACTGAGCTATAGTACGTCCGAAAAGGTCAAATTCGTCATCGTCTCTAACATTAAAAAGTTCTGCGACGAAACTTTTTCTAACGCATCAACTGCTTTAAGAAGCGGATCTTTTATTTTCCTTTTGTTTCTTGTAGGTGTGCATGGTACAGTGTAATCTTCACTATTGGATTCAGAACAGAAGCTTCTTGATTGATGTTTTGATGTCTGAAACAAAATATTTAACTAAGTTCTCATTTTCTTTTTACAGATACCTGACACTGAAGAAAGTTGGAGAGAAATAATTGATGATAAAAAATAGATGGGAAACACGTTCAAATACGTTGTCCCACGCATTCTGGGAGTGACTACTATAATTACAAGGGAACATTTAGTATTGTGCTCCTCGCAGTTTGTGACAGTGATTTAAAATTTAGGTATATCAACGTGGGTCACTATGGTCAAGCTTCGGATGGGATAATATTTGCTAGATCCTGTTTAAAAATATGTTAGAGGAAAAGTCTTTGAATGCTCCTGAAGGAATGGTTATTTTGAGAGACCAGGCGTTCCCTTTAACTGAGTATCTTATGACACCATATAGCCGACGCCTAAATTTATCTAAAAAACAAAAACATTTCAACTATCGACTTTGCCGAGCTCGAAGAACCATTGAAAATACTTTTGGTGTATTAGCAAGTAAATTTCGTAGATTTGAAAAGCCTATTCCCTTACTGCCAGAAACTGTGGACAAAATTATAAAGGCATGTTGTGTCTTGCATAATTGGTTAAAAACTAGATCATCAAATTATATTCAGCCAGGATTAATTGATCAAGAAAATTCAGAAACAGGAGAAATAGTGAGAGTTTCATGGCAGGATATGCCACAGGAAGCATTTAAACCACTTCGCAGTTTTAGTGGAAGTCATTCCAGAAATGCTCACCAAATACGACAACATTATAGTGACTACTTTATTGGACAAGGGAGTTTAGAATGGCAAGACAGAATGATTTATTAAATGTAAAACATTAATGTGTGTTTATGTAATGTATAATAGGTATAAAGAATAAAATGATAACTTACCACATTTTCTGTATTTTCACTGGTATCAATATTTTTTTTAAAATCCATATGAGATAACCAAGGTATTTTAGAAACGTATAGGTCTCCAGTTGCCATACCCGTAGTATTTACTAGTATACTACCCGTAGTATACTTTTTTTTGCCTTCAAAAGTTCATTATTGTAAGTATTACAAAGTATTGCTAACAACATCTTTAACAGTTTCCATTTGCATGGCTTCCTTAATTCTTTTGTATGCCGCTTCTCGAGCATCTCTATTTTTGTACTGCGGGTGTATCGGATCCCAACGACACTCGTTAAGTTGATATGCATTGATAAATTGTATATTTTTATCGCCTGTCCAACGATGGTTAGCCATTTTTGATGCGTACCTATTTGTCTGCAATCCAACAAAAACCACACGTCACTCTGCGCAGGTGCTATCGCGACACTAGTTTCGCGTCGCATTTACATGATGAAATTAGTTGCATGACATTAGTTTTACAAAAAAATATGCGCATAGTAAGAAACTACTCCAGTGTCACAAAAGTAATGCATGCATTGTAAATTTGAAGGTTTACACGTGAAATTACTGGTCAAATTAGTGTTAAAAAACTAATTTCAAGCCACTAATTTCGTAATGTAAATCTGGCTTTATAAAGGATATTTTTTTTTGTTTTAAAATGCTGATGCGTTGCTATCCCTGAACTCTAAGAAGGAATAACTCATTTCTAGTAAAATGTATGTCCAGTTCTCTACACTTGCCACACAAAACACAGAATCAATAAGTTCCTATTTACCAAACACCACCACCACGTAGGTATTCGATGAGAGCAAGGGTTTTCCTCGCTCGTGAAGAGCCATGCGTACTATAGCCATAACATAGCTGAAGTGTGGCTTTACTATGTAATGTATAAAAATTTAATATGTACAAAAAAACTGCGGTTGTCAACCCGCCTGCAAAGCGTGGCAAATATGGGAAAATCCCTCTTAGGATGCAATTTATGGGGAGACTTGTATTCAGCAACCTCGTTCAGTGTAGTGTACGGATAGATGAATTTTTCTTTTACTTAATTAATAGCTTACTTTATAAATTTTTAGTTATCCTTTTTGCGCTTTACTGAAATTTATGAAAAAAAAACTCAAAATGAGCTTAGAATTCGCTGGTCTAATCTTGTTTAGTTCTGAAGTTATTAAAAGTTCCTTATGAATAGAATTAGGATGTCGCAAAATTCTTGACAAGATTTTCAAACTTCAACTGCACTTCAGCTTTGATAAAGATTAGAAACTTCCCCTTTGAGTCTAATAAAAACCTATATCTAAGAATTAGTACAAAACAAAAACGAGCATACATTCTTTTTGGTAGTAAGTAAACGCAGTGCTCAATTACTACATTAATTAAAGATCGAAATGCAGGTGCGTTTTCACTGTACCTTATAAAGAACTGGAGACTCTTTTTACTGGAAACGAGATATTACATTTAAGCCTTCAGGGGTGACAACGCATCTACATTTTGAATTTTGATTGGGGCTAAATGTAGATGCATGTGCCTACCACCAAGTGGACTATGTTATCGTATGTCATCATCATTTCATATAAATAAAATCCTGAATGTAACAGCCATCATACCAAATAGAGCAGCGTTCTGCTGCTTTGATAGCAGGCTGATATTTTATGCTGGTATTTTGCGTGAATTTTGACCTTCCCTTGGCAGGATGACCCATATGTGATTCATCAATATATGCGGTGCCATAAATTATGTGTGAAAGCAGCAGACTGCTTTGATAGTATTTTTGCGTGAGCTTTGAACTTCTCAAGGCAAAATGAGCCATATGTGATTCATCAAAATATGCTGTACCATAAATTATGTCTCAAAAATAAGTCAGAATACTCGACTATATATCAATAAAAACAGCAGACTGCTTTGATAACGGGTTGATATTTTATGCTGGTATTTTGCGTGAGGTTTGATCTTCCCCAGGCAGGATGACCCACTAAAATAAGTAAGCTTATTTGACTATATGTCAATTATTCCCATATAAACTTTCCGAACAAAGATTTCTACTCCAGGCCGATATTTACGATACCTGGTAACAAGGTGAAAAAACTCGTGCATTTCAACTGTGCAGATCTTGTCAAATAAACTCGACAATCGGATTGCACTATATTAAAATAACTGTGCCAATAATAAAAGTTTAAGTATTGTATATAAATCTCATACAAAGATGATATAAAAAGTCTGTAAAACAATAAAAAATATTGACGTGCGTATTATGTATACATAAAATTATTCGTAAATAAAAAGTAGGTAGAGTAACTGACATAGCGAAACGGATCAGAAAGCTAAATTGGCGATGGGTTAGCCATGCAGCTTGACGAATTGACAACTTTTAGGTAATAAAAGATTTTTGGGTGGCAATCTCATACAGGTAAGCGAGTGTAGCGGCCCCTAGCTAGATGGAGTGACGCCCTGGTAAGTTACAGTATATATATATATATATATATATATATATATATATATATATATATATATATATATATATATATATATATAATCGGAATCTCGGAAACGGCTCCAACGATTTTCATAAAATTTTGTGGCCAGGGAGTTTCGGGAGCAATAAATCGATCTAGCTAGAAATTATTTTTAGAAAATGTCTTTTTATCCGTGTTTTCAGGCCGTGAAAAACTGCTACAATATAAGAAGGTAAATTTTGACACTGTGTTAACGATAGTAGCTCAAGTGGATATCGAGCGGTCGCGACATCGTAATGCCTTGGTTCGCGTCCTGTCTTCGGTCCGACTGTTCAGTAAAATGTTGTTTTTATAATAAGCAAACCCGCCACCAACGCAAGTATGCAAATATGTTCTGTGCATTTGAATGTCATCTCAGGGTCACCTATAACAGGTCTCAATTGTAAGTGAGAAAGCAAGTAGTAGCAAATAAACACCAGTGCAATCAACACATAGTTTCTTTTACTCCGCGCCTGCAAACAAAAATAGACCCTAACGCTAACATTTTATGGTCCATCGACCCGAGATTACGGTCAGCGTCGAGAACATTATTGTAAACAAAGGACAGTTCGGAGTGTTAAAAATACGAAAACAATAATTATTTGAACAGTGCAAGACAATTTATTTAAAAAGACAATATTAATTGAAAATTCTAAACACAATATTAATAAAAATATAATTACAAATACATAAGTAATAAAGTGTAAGTTGACGACATTAATTACGGACACTTAAAGTTTAAGATAAATTAAATAAAGGTGTATTTTGGTGATCATCAATTGTTTTGGACATTTAACTTTAATTTTATATCAATATGGAGAACGTTGAGAAAATAATGGCGATCCAAACGGACTATTACGAGAGGTTAGAAAAGGCGTACTCGAATTATAAAAAGTCTCCCAAAGAGAGGTTAACTACAGCTTATTTAGAAACCCGAATAGATACGTTAGAAAAATATTGGAAAGAATTTAAGAGTGGCCATGAGAAACTAATTACGGCAGTAACAAGAGAAGAAAGGAAACGACTATCGTATTTCACCAACGAGATTTTCGATAAATTCGAAGAACTGTATTATACCTATAAAGGTGAGATGAAAACAGTTTTGGAAAAACTACTGCCCGAACCTGTAAAGTGTAACCTGGAAATTAACCAATCAAGTGCGCCGAAAGGTAACGATGTAAAATTACCACGTGTTACCATACCAACATTTAGCGGTGACTACACAGAGTGGCGCTCCTTTAATGATTTATTCTTAGCGTTAATACACAAAAATGAAAATTTAGAAGATGTCCAAAAGTTACATTATCTGAAGAGTAATTTAAAGGGAGATGCAGAGATATTATTACGTCAGTTTGCAATCACGGGTGAAAATTATGCCGTGGCATGGTCTGTTCTAAAAGAAAGGTATGACAATAAAAGATTTATAGCTAATTCAGTCTTTAAGAAATTTTTTGGTCAACGTGCACTTTTACACGAATCTTCATATGGCTTAAAGCAATTATTGGACACGTCAGTTGAATGTTTGAACGCTTTAAAGCATCTAGGTTTACCAACTAAACATTGGGATGCTATTGTAAACTATATAATTACATCAAAGTTGGACGCTGAAACTCGTAAACAATGGGAAGAAACAACTGGTAAAGAAAGTTCGGATACCTTGCCTGATTTTGAAACGTTAAAATCATTTTTACAATGTCGGTTTCGAACCCTGGAAATGGTTGAATCTGCAAACAAGTCGACTAAAATAATGAAACCTAAAACATTTCATACCACAACTACCGGCGAAATACAATGTGCATTTTGTAAAAGGCCTCATTATATTTTTAATTGTCAACAATTTTGCAAACTGCCAATCGAAGAAAGGTACAATTTTGTTCAGAAAACCAAACTTTGCTTCAACTGTCTTATACCTAATCATAATATAGTTCAATGCAAACGACAAACAGCATGTCAAATATGTAAAAGAAAACATCACTCCTTACTGCATCGAGAGAACATAAGCGCGGAGAAGAAAAATAATACACAAGAAACTATACATAACAACAGAGAAACTGAAGTATCAGCACACACATCTACGTATGATCATAACCAATCGTGTCAAACCATGTTGTTGGCCACAGCATTAGTAGATGTCATTGCACCTACAGGAACATCGCACGTCTTCCGTGCTTTAATCGACCAAGGTTCAGAGGCTTCATTCGTCACATCGAGGGTGGTCGATGTGTTGGGTTTGAAAAAATCAATGATCAACGGCGTGGTCTCTGGAGTTGGTGAGATGAACAATCTTTTAATTAATCACATGGTGGATTTAGAAGTAAGGTCTAGATATAATACTAATTTTTGTTTAGATGTTAAGGCATTTGTACTTAAATCTTTAACGCGTAGGTTACCTGCTAGGGAAGTACAAATTAGTAATTGGCCACAACTTAAAACCATGAATCTAGCTGATCCTTCTTATTATACACCGGGAAGAATAGATATTCTCCTCGGCGCAGATGTTTTTGGTAGAATAATTTTCTCAGGGTTATTAAAAGGGCCAGGCAATTTAATTGCACAAAATACTCACCTGGGTTGGATTCTTTCAGGAAATACAAAACAACCACATCCATCTGCTCGGAACTCACAATATATAACAAGTTTACACATAAGGAGAAATGTCAAAGAAGATAATAGTCTATTAAGAAAATTCTGGGAAATAGAAACTGAATTTTACACTAATAAGAAGTTATTAACCAAAGAAGAGGAGAAATGTGGAGAAATATATAAAAATACTACAACTCGAGACGAAACAGGAAGATATACTGTCTACTTACCCCTCAAACAAAGCGTGGAAGACACAGTGACCTTAATCGGCGATACAAGGGA